AATTAGGAACGCGGGTCAATCTGTGGGCTAATAAACTTAACATCATCCTAATGCCAAGATGGCACAGGCTTTATGCCCAGGTATCTCTTTAGCCTAGTTTATGCTTCTGCGTTGTCCCTTGCGTCGCTTTTCACACCTCCTTGCGTCCTTGCGTGTGTCGAGACATTTTTCTAGGCTTGCAAGCCTCCCGCAGCGCAGCAGGCTACCATTGGTCCGCTAACTACGTCCTTTACGGAGTCTCACATTTCCGCTTTCATAGCCCGATACCGCCATTATTAAAACGGAGGATGTCTACGAGAGAACGGATCAGATTTAAGAACTTTTGTCGGAAGAAATGCGCAAATATGACCGCTTATACAAGCCGTCATTGGCGGGTTGGATTCACGGAGGGAGATCGCCGCAAACGCCGGTCGAGAGGTGCACCAAGTTGTGGAGGAAAATACGGGACAAATGTGTCGATGAAAAGCAGCAGTGTGGATGCACGGGGCAATAAAGTCTATGATAAATAAATAAATAGACGTGACTCTTTAGGTCGTCTTCAACAAAAACACGTCACTCTGCCTGTGGTTCTGGCGGTGAATCGCTCTGCAACACACGCAGAACCATGAAGTGAAACGAGTGCGTCGACGCAACGACGCAGACGCAGAAACATGCGCCAGCCAATCTCACTTTTTTAAATTGTCGCCTCAGCAAATCTGCCTATTAATTACGCTGCGTAGCGCCACCCACAGGCAGAGGGGAGTATTGAGCCTTCATACCACCAACAGCGCGACGACACACACACACAAACAAAAGTTGGCTCTTTTTTTTCACCAATGAAGTGACAGTATGTAAAAAATGTTTTTTTTCACGGCACACCTGACTGGTTGAAAAACACTGCAGTAGAGTAACAGCCGCAGGGAGGAAGCTGTTCCTGAACCTGCTGGTCCGGGAACGGAGCTCCCTGTAGCGCCTCCCAGAGGACAGGAGGCCACTTCTGTTAGCCACTTCTTTCCTTCATGTCAGCTACTTTAAGTTTTGTATACGTTTGTAAATACGTTTTGTATTTTTATATTGTAGATTTATATTTTATTTATATGCAAACATTTTTTTCTGCCATTAGACGCTGCTCATCAGAATCATTTAATGTGCAGGAGGATTTCTGAGAAGAGTTTCTTTTTTCAGGTTCCTCTTTCTTTGACACGTTCTCTGTTGTCACGGAACATTTTAAATATGGACCTATAGAGGAAGTGGTCGTCTTTGCGAGTGCAGTGAGCTACCAAGATAAGTTAAAGGTGTTAAACAGAAGCCAAACGTCAACTAACACACACAGTACAGCACTTTATATTCATACAGTGTATTGACACAAATTATTGACATAATAATGTTTGGTCCTTTTTATTCTCTCAAATGTTGGTTTTGTTCCAGGGAGCAGAGATGAAAAGCTTCCTCCACGACACTCACATGATATGAATAAGGCCTTTAAAGTGGAGCAGGGGAGGTACTTTGTGGCGTGGTGCTCGTCCTCTGGCTCACGTCCACTTGCTCTGTGCAAAAACCCAGGTGCTGGTAGTCGACCTTGGATGTAGATGATTATCTTTGGCACCACAAGATAAAAAAAACATCGACGCACAAACATCTTGATTATCCGATGACTCAGAACAACATGTGACTATGTGAAAGAACACAGACTCTCTGTCGTACTAAAGTGGAACAATAATATAATAAATAATAGTTTTTCCAACAAATAGAAGTAGATTTTGTTAAGGTTTTGAAAGCTCTCGAGGGAGGCCTCAATCCTTTGTTCTCGTCCCGGCCGGAAACGAGGACACGAATGAGTCAATTCGTTTAAATTCAAAAGTTATTTAATAACTGAACAACGTAATAGGGATTACAATTACAAAGTGAAATACTAAGCGAACAGTGGAATATTTCGCGAAATAGAGAATCCTCTGAGCAAGTCTGAAGTGACTTATCAACGCGGCTGCAGGAGAAGTTCTAACAGTCTTTTCCCCGCCATGGTCCTTTGAAAACTCTTGAGGTGTGTCTTCCTTGGTGCATTTGAATGTCATTGGCCTCTTCTCCAAAGGGTCACCTCCTCCATTGTCCCTTCCACGTTGAGGTGTGAAGCTGCAGCTGTAACCTAAAACCTCTCTGTCCTAGCTGTCCCTCAAATTCCAATGCACTCAATGTAGATACATTCGGCTTTATGCCTCAATGAGTGAATTTAACAAAGCATACAGCGTTTAAGTCTTCATCTTATAACTAGTACACTTTAATTACAACAACCCATCACTAATGATCACCGTTCATCACACTTCATCATAAGATCTAAAACAGTTCATGTGGTTCAATTCTCAAGACATTTGCCTCAGTTGGCTGCCTCGCAATAAGTTGTTCATTTATTACCTGACAGGAGAAAAAACTCCCAAAAAAACCTTTTTGGGGATAAAATTGGGAGAAATCCATAAAGAACGGCAATTGGCATCCGTCCCCAGGTTTTAACATCACATTGTAACAGAATGTAAATGTGTAGTGTGTTTCTACGTTTTAAAAGACTATAAACTGTGTTTGATTCACATTGTATTCACTTCATCTAACATGTTAATGTAATAACTAATCTAACATCACACAAACTACAATTCTATCACTAAACATCATTACACGCACTACAAATTCTATGACTAGGGGTGCACTTCTGGCTTAAATCCCTAACAATTTCTGAAAACATTGAGGGGAAGTTAATATGATTCTTATAAAGTTTGTTTTAGACTTTTTGAAGTGTAAAAAAAAATCTGCTTCCTGACTTGAATGAAAAAAAAAAAATTCCCTTTTGCAAAAAATTCATTTTTCTTTTCAACACTAAGAATTAAAGCCAAAGAATCAGTACAACAATTTAAGTGATTAAAAAAACGCTACCAAAATCTTATTAGGATGCTAAAATAAATGTTATAATAGGAAGCCTTAACAATACAAACACAATAAAAGTTGAAACACTTTTGTCAACAACGTTTTCTTCTTATTTAAACACATCAAGAAGCAGAAAAGGATCGAAGCTAGTAAACAATCACACAAGCTTTACTCGTGTTACTCCCTCAGTCTGCAGTCTGTGGAAATAATCAGTCTGATTTTCTAAATACGTTCATGGCTTCTCTGATTAAAGCGTGAGGAAAAATAGTTTGGGTGAAGGACAAGGTGAAAGAAAGTCCACAGGGTTTCATTTTTTGAAATTGCAAAAACTTTAAAACATCTGTTCCACCTCTTTAAATGTTTCACTGAGGACGAGAGACATTTAAAGAGACGTCTTGCAACCATTGAGAGGTGATGATGAGCTGAAGGTGAACCGCTGGTTCAATGTGTAATAAATAAAGTGTAGTGATGGAGTAACATTCAGCAGTGAATGATCATCACATATTGTGTGTGGTGTTTATTGTATCATGTGTCTACTGTACAACAGATACGGTTATCATGTTTAGGTACACAGGACGGAAGCCTTTTATCATTAAAAGCCCCCCCCCCCTCCTCCTCTTCCCTCAGCGCTCCAGTTTGTCCAGTAAGGTGAATTAGTGTCGCAACGTAACACATCGTATAATACTGCACACGGTTCAATTTACAATCATGATAAATACTCATTGCATATATGTCTGCATGTACAGTATTTATCCATCCATCCATCCATTGTCAAACCGCTTATCCTGCACACAGGGTCGCGGGGGGGCTGGAGTCCATCCCAGCCAACTTCGGGCACATCCTGGATTGGTCGCCAGCCAATCGCAGGGCTACACAGAGACACACAACCAATCACACTCACATTCACACATCTACGGGCAATTTAAAGTCCCCAATTGACCTGATCCCCAGAGCATGTCTTTGGACTGTGGGAGGAAGCCGGAGAACCCGGAGAGAACCCACGCAGACACGGGGAGAACATGCAGACTCCACACAGAAAGGCCACTGGACGGAATCGAACCCAGGACCTTCTTGCTGTGAGGCGACAGTGCTAACCACCACGCCACCGTGCCGCCCCTTGTACAGTATTTACTCGTACATAATTCTGTTCAGCACGTTTTGTTTTGGGTGGAAACTTAGAACTTGTTAAAGCTTCATACTGATCTTGTTTCAGTGATTAAAAGGTCTCGTGTTCCTCTCTGGTTTACTGTGAGTTTTTACCAAAGAATCAATATGTGATGTTATTATAGTAAAGACACTTGAAACACTGAATGATGACGAAATACGTTATGGAAAAATAAAACATTTAATGCCAATCAAGCTTTTTTCCTCTGTTGTCATTCATCACAGTTTTGATTTGATTACTTTTTTTTCTCCAAGTAAAAATACTTAACAGAAGCATCATGCAGCTTAAATCTCACCAATCAGGTGAAGCCTTAAAAGTCTAAACTGTAAATCGTTGCTCTTTAGGAAATGATCAGATGAAAAGTGACATGAAGAATCAAACCAGGAACCAAAGCTGAAGCTTCCTGCAGGACAACAACATATTTATTACTTTTTCTACATTGATCTTAAATGTAAAATATCTAATTACTAAGACCTTGAATTGTGATGCTAAAAAAAGGTACTTTTAAATGTGTGTGATGTTTAGTAACATTTAATGATTTTTAATCTCTCCAATGACACGTTTGTGTGGATGAGAATTTTTCAGCATTAAAGCAGATCACATGAACTAAAACACAGAAAGCTTCAATAACTCTGCAAACTACCAGCAGAATTCCAGGATTTGGGGAAACATTCCTCTTTAATCGTTGAAGGACCTGCCGGGTTTCTTCACCTCAGCGTAGAGGCTCTCTGACTGATTCCTGCGTGTCGCCGCGGCTGCCTGAGGAGATCGAGCGTGAAACTTCACCGAGCTGTAGGTGACGTCGTTTGTTGGGTTCTGAGGTGCTGATGTTTCGTCCTGCAGGATGAATCACATACGTAAGAAAAGGTTACTTGCTTCTTCTTAATGGTGCTATTTTCCTCGTGGGGAATCATCTCCTGACGATTAACAGTCACTGATTTAAATACTTCTGTCTCTTTGGACAAACCTGGAAACAACTTTGACACAAAGTTTTGATTCTAAAATCATTTCTCAATTTTGATGTTAAAAGACGTAACAATTACCTGAGCAGCTTCATAAATGACATTATCGATGCTCCTTCTTGAACCTGCAGGTCAGTGATGGAAGAAGAACAAACAGCCCTTTGAAGATCTGAACTGTTGTACATTTACTTTACTTGAGCTGCAGATAAAGTGACTCCATCTTTTGGGTGGTGTCTAATTTACTCCATCCTCAAACAGAAGCACATGTTGACGTGTTGGATTTGATGTGTTGGGATGTTTGTATCAAAACAGCAAATCATGACAATCCCAGTGAGATAAAAAGCACCTTTTGGTAAAATATCACATGTATATTTTAACAAAAGTGTTTCCTGATCTGATGCAGTAAAAGACGTCCTGTGTTGTACAGATTGTTCAGCGCTCGGAGGCAAACTGTGATTTGTGATATTGGGCTATTTAACCAAACAGGTGGGTACATAGTTATGGAGGACTTGGAGACATTGAGTTTCTATGTAGAGGAAACAAAGAGGATTTTACAGATGTTGAGATTGTTTGTTGGAACGTTTACTTGGACTTACAGGTTCTACTCCTTCGATCAATACAAAGCCAGACGGATAGAACCACAATTAGGATGAGAGTGAGAGCAGCAGTGCAACTAGCAATCACCAAGACAAGGAGAGGATCTGTAAAACAAAACAAGAACCAGATCAGAAGAGTCTTCCTGGTTTAAATGACGCAGCACAGCTGAGAATGTGTCACATGTTCACAGCCTGATGTGCTTCTGACGGACTGAAGTTTGGATTGTGAAAACATCTTTAACGTGATCTATAGTAAGAAATCATTTGATTTCTTCAATTAAAACATTTTTCTACCAACCTTTATAGTAATTAATGGTTGAAGGTGTTTACAGGGAGATGAACTCCAGCATTGTGATTGAGAGTGAGTGTTCCGTATCACTGCGCACTCAAAGTAACAGGTTAGCTTTTGCACAACCGTTAGTTGACATCTTAGCTTTTAGCTCGGTGGCGATTGCCCAAAAAAAAGACCCGGAAATCCCTCAAAGTGTCAGGCAATGCGAGCTTTCGCAAGCGGACAATTAAGGTAAAAGCAATAAGGTACTTGAGGGTGTACTTTGTCGTCCAATAATGTAACCGTTGGGGGTGTTGTTATTCATGAAGTCGTCTCTTTCAGTCTTACCAGTATTTGAGGAGCAAAAATGTTCAGTCGTATTGGAGTCCTGGGTCCAGTTAACCTGGTTGCTATGGTTACAGATGATGGTGTTGTGCAACAGGTAGACCTGGAGAGAAGCCCCAGAGGTCGTGACCTCTGGTCGCTCTCTTCCCCCCTGAATGCAGACCCGGACGACACATCTGAAAGTGCTGCTGATGTTTGAGTTGTGAGTCCTGCAGGTCACATGGAGGTCACATGACTCTGAGCTGCTGGAGTCCACTCGGTCCACGATCAGTTCAACTGGAGACACTGGCCCTGAGGGGGGGGGAGGTTTCTGTGAAGAGTTTATGAAACATGGCGGCAGAAACTATCAGTGAAATGTTTACAGACTCACCTTGAACTGTGACCTTGTATTCAGTCAGTAGTTTGTCTCCTTCAAGTGTTCCTGCTACAGCAGAATAAACTCCACTGTCGACCTCTTGTACATTCTTCAATGTCACAGAGAATTTATTCTCAGGAAACTCAAACCCTCCAGTGACATTATGAATGACAGTTGGTTTCCCACTAGGATCAAATCTTACTAAAGTGACTGTTTTATTGATTTTCCAGTTAACAAGTAAAAACCCCTCAGGAGGATCAGCATGAAGCTTGAGGAGCAGATCACGTCCCTTCAGCACAAACACAGGAGTCACAATGGTTCCTGTAAAAACAGTAGACACATGATACAATAAACATCACACACAATATGTGATGAATCATTCACTGCTGAATGTTCCTCCATCACTACACTTTATTTATTACACATTGAACCAGCGGTTCACCTTCAGCTCATCACTGCTTAACATGAAGTGACAGAAGTCTCTTCAAATGTCTCACGTCGTCTCTTCCTGAGGACACAGAGAAGCTTAACAGCAGAAACTAAACCCACTGAGAGCAAGTTGCTGCTCAAAGTTCTTCTTCTTGACGTGACAAAGTATTTCCATTCTGTCTCTTTGTCCTCTGTCCCTCCGTCTCACCACACTAATGTCCCCCAGCATCAGCTACACTGAACATGGACGACTTTAGAAAATAAGACGTCCACAGACTGAACGCTGAAGGAGTCAAACTCTGAGAGGAGTAAAGGTCAACATTTGTCTTGGAGGGAAAGAAGCGTTCAGCCCGTTTCAACAAGTGGTGAGAAAGTGTCTAAAAGCACCTGAATGTTTCCTCTGAATCACACACGTCTTCTGTTGGAACACTTAGAATATTCACTGAAATAAGACGTGAATATTACGGAAGATTTTTAAATGAAAATAGTAAACTCATACTGAGACTATTTCCTGCCTCTGAGCTCCGTACAAGAAGGAACAACACGAATCCTGATTAACCACAAAGAAACAGAAAGATTCAAAAATATGTTTTTAACTCAACTTGTAGAAATAGTGCTGCGGTATAAAAGCTTTGACCTTGAAAACCAATCGACAACAAAATACATATAAAATAAAGTCCTCACCTTGTGCTTCACATAATGTCAGCAGAGAAACAAAGAGAAGCTCGACGCACGACTTCATTGTGCAGAATGAAAGTATGATGATGAAACGAGTGGAGAACGTTTTACTTCCCTTCAAAGCAACAACCAATTACTTCAAAGATTGTTAAAATGAAGCCATATATGTCTCTATGTGGTTGACTTGTAACTACCGTCACATCATGACGTGGGCTCATATTTTATTATTAATGGTCTCTTCACAACATCAGCTCCGACTGCTCGTCTGTAGGAACTCTGTACGGCCACCAAACAAAATACTCTAATTAAACCAGAGAAATGTGTCCATCTGCACTAAACACTATAAACATTCCACAGCTTGATGTTAATTCAGTAAAATGTCATTTATCAAATACAAACAATCTCCTACATATTTAACTCCATCATCTTCATCACTGCTTCATCATCATCACACATTTCCAGTAGAACATCATCACCACCTTTGACTCAAAGATCACTTTCACATCCTCAGCACTCACCTCTGGTCCTCATCGCGTCCTTGTTGCCTCGACGGGGAAATTTAATAGGATTCCACTAAATATTCGTTAATTCAATGTTAGTAATAAGAAATAGAAGTAGGGTTCCATGTCACACAGAAAGAGCTTCTAATAATAAAGTAACTGCTGCAAACCACAGTGACCTGATGTTTATATTCAGGTCGCAGACGTTTGAGATGAAACTTTTTCTACTTTTGTCGTTACTTTAAAGCTGCTGAGACACAAAAAGAAAATCCAAATAAGCTTCGTTGGAATGAAACGTCTATTCAAACGTGTCTGAACGCTTCAAATTCAATGTTGTTTAATATCAAAGTGTTTTAGTCGCATCAAAAAGCTCATCTTCCTACATTAAGGTCCCAAGTTCAACAGCTGATTCTCCAAAGGTGCAAATGTACATCAGGTGTTTATATGACATGATATAAAGTGCTAACTGTCAATAACAGACAAACCATCGACAGACTCAGTCGAGGCTTCAACACAATATATTCAATCTGAAGTTTGTAGTTCTACATTAACAGAAAGTGCTTTATTTAACATTTTACAGTGCGTTGTCATTTTGTCTGTGTGTCTTTAACTCGAGGTCTTCTGTCGTTGTACAACAGGAAATATAAAAATACCATGAGAGTGTTTTGGGGTCTTGTGAAACTTGCCTTAACATCACTCATTTGTGTTTTTATATTATAAACAGAGAATTGAGAAGAAACTAAAATTCATAAGACTATAAATGTGTGGAGCATGTGTGTATTAATCATGATTATTTTATAGGAATTATTGTAGGTTGAACCCGTCTGTGTTTGACGTTTGGAAAAAAAGGGGAGGAGCCAAACGAATCAGGCTTCACCTGCAGCTCCCTGATTAGATCACTGTTTTATTTGTTTTGATGGGGGGGTTTACTGTGAAAATTAAAAACTCCACCTGCTATTTCCTTTGTTACAAAGTGTGTGTGTGAGGTGTGTGTGCACTCGCCACACTGAAATAGAAGCAGTAGCTGCAGTCAGCAGTGTGTTAGGCCTTCATGTGAGTTACAGTCGTCCTCCATGTTTTATCTCCCCAGACGTCGTCCAGAGGTTCCATTCAGTCTAAAAGTGTCCGAGCTGTTTCCACGTGATGTTTCCTTCCACTCCGTCACCGTTCACACGTTGCTGATGCGAACACTGAGGGGAGTGTCTCTCGCCCGGCCTCGTCCCCCCCTCTGTCCCGGTAGTTCTGCTCCAGACGGATCTTCTCTGGATCGGACACATCTGGCACGGGCCCGGCCCCGTTGCTCTGGTACGCGCGCTGCGGGCTGCACGGTTTGAAGACGGGCGCCGTCTTGGTCTTGGCCACTTTGTCGAAGAAACCGAAGTCCGCCACGTACTTCCCCGATGGGGAGAGGGAGACCACGGGGGGGAACTCGTAGCCCCAGAGGATCTCATCCGGCAGGTAGGAGGTGCGCACCTGGCAGGTGGCCGAGGTCGGCTCAATCGTGGCGCTCATGATCACCAGCAGCTCGAAGTCCGCCAACTCTGGATCCGTCCAGCCCCCACCTGGTGGAGGGGGGGAGAAATGTGATGGGGGTGCGTGTGAGGTGGCGAGTGTGAGTTGGATAATCCAGAGAGTCAGGAGAGGTGTTTCTGCACGGACTTATCTTTCCTGATCGACACGGCGAGCCGTAGTCCAGGGCGG